GCAATACTTTCCTTCAGATCTTTAAAATAACTACCTCTTTTTCCTTTGCTTTTCTCGGCTTCTTGTCTTGTGTAGCAAAACTGCAGGCCTAGTTACCCAGGAAACTACAGGTATCTAGTTGCTGTGATTTACTACCAATTAAAAAGAAACCCAGCTTTTATGTTATAGAACTAGCAACTTATATTATTTTTCCTATGCTGACTTTTAGTCAGCAACATCTACCCTGATCATCTTCTAGGGGTGGGAGCCATTTCCTTGGTGCTTCCAGCTATGAGCTTGTCTGTCAGTGAGAGATTATTGCCAACCTGATCTAACAGGAGGGTTTCCGATGGCCAAAGGATTGTAACTTAGAGAGCTCAGTCTTGTCTTTGTTGGGCGATTTATTAACTTGAGCTGCCACATCAGTCCAGGCAAGGAAACACATTGTTCTTAGTTTATCTTCCCTTTAAAGGAAAGCCAGAGAATTTGGGTCATCCTGCTTCTTAGGGTCATCCATATTGTTTTTAAGTTGTCATTGTGTTCCTCTGTGGTGTTGTTAGACAGCCATTTCCCTGAAGTGAAATACTCATGGACCTTGTCATTTACAGCACCAGTACCTGAGTATACAAAGTGGCTTCATGAGTGAATAATAGACCTTGGTCTGAGACCCATTCTTGCATGTCTTGTCCACTCTTGTCAGTCCTGGAGAATCCCTCACTCTGATGATTTCACATCCTGGCGGTAGCCCTTCGTGCCTTTCTACAGTGGAAACAGTACTGTGGTTACTGTGTGAGGTAACTTCTTTGCTACTATGAACCAGGCAGTGAACTGCCTGAAAATGGTCTCTTTCCTGTGGTGCCTTTGAGCAGAGATAATTGTCTTGAATTTAGGCCTGAGCAGTTTTTTATGCCATACAATGTGTGACAAGCCCATTGCTGGTAAAGCCCCACCAGAGACGGGACTTTAAGTTGCTGTGGGCTTCTGGTCACTGGCCATGTGATAGCACAGAAAAGGGCTTGTGTTTTTGTTTTTTTTTTTGCTGGGTGTGGGATTGATAGAGCAGTCTACAGGAGATGTAAAAATAACCAGATAGCCCCTGCTTGTGAGTACCCTGACAGTGTATGTTTCCTTCTGGGAGACAGGGCTAGAGCAGAAGAGGTGAGTGTGACATCAGGTGACAATACAGAGGGAGGGTGATTTTAATCTTCTAGAAGATAATAGCCTGCTTATTGTCAATCATAATTGTAACATAGAATTCTCAGAAAATAGTTTTACTAAGGCTTACAATTAAAGCAGCTTTTGAAGAAAACATGTAACTTTCCCTTGCCAAACTGCCTTGCATGTGATTTTTAAGGACTACTTCATCTAAATATTCCTTAACTTAAAATATATAACTTTAAATGTAAACTAAAACTTGTAACATATTCATTTCAGTTTTTCGGGGGTTAGCTTTGTAGTTGGAGTATGTTTAACTTTTTGCCAAATAATGTTTCTTGACTTTTGTAAGTCAATTTGGACAATTTTGAAAATGGAGGGAAGTGTAAAGAATAAACAAGTACAGTCCCCTGTGTAAAACAGTGCTGGGCAGACGCTGGGCTCTGAGGCAGATGGCTGTCAATATCATTCAGGTATGTACATGGTTAGGATTTTTCATGTGTGTTTTTCTTTTTTAAAAGTCAGAATCAGAACATGCAAGTATAATGTAATTTATTCTCTTTAAAGAAATGGTTTAGTTTTTGACATTTCTTATTTTTTGTTATTTGATACTTCTTTTCACTTACTCTTTTATTATTGTTCTTTTATGGGAACTGGAAGATCTGAATTTGCCTGAGGCTCTTAGAAAGAGGGCAGCCTCAATTTTGACCTCTGTTAAATGAGGCTCTGTAATTTCATTAAGTAATGGCCTTGTGGCTCCTCTCAATATATGACCTCAACTTCTTACTCTTCATAAAGCTGTCTGGAGCAGGGATTTTTATCCCTCTTGCCCACCTTCTTCGTTTGCACCTTCTCACTCAGCCTGTCTGATGACCTTAGTCCTTTCCTCCTGGTTAGTCTAATGTCTACAGACTTGACTTTGTACTCTCCCTGTTTCTCTTCATGAACTTTCAGCTCCATCCAAATGGCTTTCTTCAAATCCTACATCTGTTAACCTGCTGATAATAGTGAGATATGAGGTCTTGAGAAGCAGTATTCTCGGGCTGTCACCCCATTAGAGAAGCATATTCATGTTACAAGCAAATAGTTTTTCTGGTGGTGACTTATAATTGACTTTTAAAACTTTAAGTCAGTCAATTATCATCAAACTCAACTAACTCCTTCCCACTGCACTCTTCCTCTCCCTCCCCCAAGAAGACTGAGAAAAAGCAAGAGAAATCAATTGGCATATGCTTGTTGAGACAACCATCTTCCCTGTGGCAATTAAAAACTGTACAAAAAATTCTTACAGGTTACCTCTCCCTTGGTTTTTTGGTTAACATAGATAATGCAGTTAAGTTGGTTTTATCACGTGTGAATTCTGTTTTTATTTCCTCCTACTTTCATGAAACTCTTGACTTTTAACTTTACCTACTTTGTAATTAAAATAGGCCTGGAGAGGGTCCTCCACCCCTGCACTAATTATTTTACATAATTTACATAATTTACCTGACCTTGACCTGATCCAATGAACTTGACCTCTTGTAGTTTTGGGCTTGCTAAGTGTTATTTATTTCTGTTAATAACCGATCTAGAAGTGGAGCTTTTGTTGGTATTCTTCACATCTCATATGAGGAATTCATATAGTTAACATTTTTTAAAAGGCATGACCTGTTTTCAGGGACTTACTACCCACTTAGAATGTTGTGATATAGACTGACAGCCAGGTGCATAGAGGTTGTGTGGCATATTGGGTGATCCCTAAGCCAGAGGGGTTGGAATTTAGGCTCTAGTTCCTCCACACAGTGGCACTGTGAGTGTCTGGTCATCTTGAAGCCTTGAGTTCTGCTTCTGTGAGGTGAGCAAGGAAGGTTTGGGGAGGATGGCTGAGTTTCCTTTTCATTTCTCCCTAATGCAATGCTCAGTTTAGTAAAGGATCCTGAGGTATGTGAAGTGAGCCCAGGACTTCCTGAAGGAGTCAAAACTAGATCTTAACAGCAGGCCAGGTTGAGCACAAAAGGAAAGAGGAGCCAGCTGAGCAAAGGCCTGCAAACAAGTCCATAGGGAGCTTTGAAGGCTCAGTGAAAGCAACACATTGTACAATGTGCATCTGAAGGGAGAGTCTGGAATCCCAAAGATAGAGAAGAAGACATTTAAAATCAGTATGAGATGATAGGAGTATGAGTGAAGATAGGTGCCCACACTGTAGTAGATAAAGGGCAGATACAAGGGGCATTTCCAAGGAAAAATCACCAGGATTTGGTGGAAGGTTGTGGGCCGAAAGAAGTTACAAGGGTTTAAGCTGAGTGATTGCTGTGTCATTGTTCATTCTTAAAATGCAAAAATAGAATAGCTGCTCCTGCAAGGGTCTCTTCTAGGTACTGGGATTAACCACTAAACAAATAAAAGTTCCTGCTCTTTAGAACTTACTTTCCAGTGTTAATTATATTAAAATTTTAGTGGCAACAATTTGGGGATTTTGAGATGCTATCATCTAACTTGAGATTGTTTTCTTGTCTCAAGATCAAATGTGAAGGTGGAGGATCACAGTCTGAGACCCATCCAGAAACTCAAGGTCATATCTGAAAAAATGCTAAAAGCCAAAAGGACTTGGGGGCATCCATAAAGGCCCTGAGTTTAAACCGAAGTACTGCAAACAAAGGAAATTAAATAAATAATCAATAAATTAATATCAAATGGGAGATATGAAGGAAAAGACATGTAGTATATCCATAAAGTCAATACACAGTATTTTCGTATTTCAGAGCTGTAAAGATACGAATGGAACTGTTAAGCTGAAAATGCTGTATTTTGCAGGATGACTCTAGTTTTAGTAATTTGCTTCATAATAAATTTCAGGAAACATCATGGCATTTTGGAACACCTAGGGATCTGTTGTTGACTTGTGAAAGGTTTCTTTTGTAGGCTCTGGTTGAATTAAAATTAGGTTTATTTTAACAACTAGGAGGAAGTAATTAGGTTGAACAGTACTTAATGACTTTTTTTCTAGTGACTTTTGTCAGCTTAGATTTGAAGTAGTACTATGATATCTTAGTTTTTAATCTGACTTTTCTTCAGTTTTTTAACATGAAAAAAAATCGTTAGAACTAGATAATTCTTTTGCAGTACTGGGGTTTGAACTCGGCTTCACACTTGCTAGGCAGGCACACTACTGCATGAGCCCTGCCTCCAGCCTGTTTTGTTCTTGCTTTTTTGGAGATAGTGTCTTGCTTTTTGCCCAGGCTGGGCCAGACTGCAACTCTCCTATTTTGTTTCCTGCTGTGCCTGGATGACAGGCACATGCCACCACGCTCAGTGTTTTTTCTGGTAAGATGGGATCTGCATACTTTTTTCCAGGGCTGCCCTCAAACCATGATCCTCCCGATCACAGCCTCACAACTAGCTAGGATTACAGGTGTGAGCCAACAGAGCCTGGCTAGTTCTAGATAATTCTTTGATGAAAAATGTTGCTGTAAGAAATAAAGAAGTGTGAAAATGAAAATGTGATTTTCTGCGTTATTTTAGAAGCTTGAACTAGATGAACATTATCTAACTAGAGTTATGATGCACTTAAATATTCATTTAGTTTAGAAATTTTCCCTTCCTTTTGTTTAATTGGTTAACTCTGTTTCATAGCATTTTTATGGTAACTACAATTTGCTGTAACAATGGAAGTTATTCATAATCCTTAAGGGAAGAAGTAAAGGACTTTGGACCTAATAGGACTTGTATGTTTTCACATGTTAAAGTGACATTAAAAATATTGTTAAAAGACAATTTATAACTCTGAGCTGCCTTAAGTATATTACCTCTCAATGTCTGAATTTCTCAGTTTAAAAATCAGATTTTTTTTCTTCAGGCTGATTGGTTTTTAAAATTTTCCTCAGGTAAGAATGCTGTTTTGAAGTGCCTCCTGGATATTCACAAAATTTTTCAGGAAAATGACCCAGCTTATATACTGAATGATCTCTATATCTCAGACTACTGTGTGTGGATCCAGAAAACCAAGTAAGTGTTGTGTCACTTAGGAATTTATAGACACTTACCCCAAGCAAGAAGATGAAATAACCTGAGGAATAAGTTTTAATGAAAGAGAAACTCAGATCTTTAGCAATAACTGGACTAACATAGGGAACGTGGTGAATTTGCTTAGGGAAGCGGTACAGGTGGTAAAAAGTTAATTTTATCAGAAGACATTGGAATTGGTACCACCTGGAATACAGGTATTGAACCCGCAAGTTGTGAGTGTTCATGGCTGTCCTCTTGACTGTCTCAATGAAGTCTCAATCACTGTGATCAAGAGGTGGGTGTGGATGTGTCTGTGTGTGCATGTATGCTCACATTTGCACAAGTAAACATGAGAGGATGCAAACCTAAATCGAATCTAATCCAAACTAGAGCTGTGCATTTGTTGACTGACCCTCAGCTTCCAGGGTCCATGTTACAAAGTGTAAAAACACAGCCTTGACAACTTAGTAGCATGGTTTATGATGGCATAGGCACCGGATAGTCTAAACTCACAAGTAGCCTCCAGTGCTTGAAATGCAAAATGTTCAAAAAGCGTTTGTCATTGCCTCCATCAAGGTACATAATAGGTTAACTATTAAATTTTAAATGCAGTGGATTTTTATTTAGTGAAGGAGTTTGGAGGATCAGCTTCTTATCAGATGTGACCAAATGATCCATTTCAGCAGTAAGAGGCTGTTAATTGACACCTTAAAAGAGAGCTCTTTTGTTGTTTTTTCTTGTTTGTTTTTTGGACAGGGTCTCAATATGTATTCCATACTAACCTCAGACTCACAATCCTCCTGCCTCAGCTTTCCAAGTGCTGGGATTAAAGGTGTGTACCACCATACCTGGCAAAGAGCTCTTGACTTAGAAGAAAAATAATCACAATATTTTTATTATTACTGTGATTAGTAAATAAATACTTTAGTATGGCTCTTTTTTTTATTTATTTTTATTTTTTCATTTTTCTTTTATTATTCATATGTGCATACAAGGCTTGGTTCATTTCTCCCCCCTGCCCCCACCCCCTCCCTTACCACACACTCCTCCCCCTCCCTCTCCCCCCACCAATACCCAGCAGAAACTATTTTGCCCTTATTTCTAATTTTGTTGTAGAGAGAGTATAAGCAATAATAGGAAGGAACAAGGGTTTTTGCTGGTTGAGATAAGGATAGCTATACAGGGCATTGACTCACATTGATTTCCTGTGCGTGGGTGTTACCTTCTAGGTTAATTCTTTTTGATCTAACCTTTTCTCTAGTACCTGTTCCCCTTTTCCTATTGGCCTCAGTTGCTTTAAGGTATCTGCTTTAGTTTCTTTGTGTTAAGAGCAACAAATGCTAGCTAGTTTTTTAGGTGTCTTACCTATCCTCACCCCTCCCTTGTGTGCTCTCGCTTTTATCATGTGCTCATAGTCCAGTCCCCTTGTTGTGTTTGCCCTAGATCTAATGTCCACATATGAGGGAGAACATACGATTTTTGGTCTTTTGGGCCAGGCTAATTTCACTCAGAATGATGTTCTCCGATTCCATCCATTTACCAGCGAATGATAACATTTCGTTCTTAATACATGTTTTGAATTTACTTTTTCTGTCTGTCTGTGGGGAAGCATATAGCAGAGTGAAATGGGAACACCTGTTGTATGGAAACTGCTCAGGGCTGCTCAGGACAACACCTGATAGCATACAGCAGGTGGTGCCAGGAGTTGGTTGGAAATCTCGAGTTGGCCAGATGGAAAACTGAATCTTTAACCCTAAGGTCGTAATGGTATGTCATCACTTCATTTGATGCTCCCTGCTAATTGAGCTTATCACATACCCTGCTGTGGTTCCTGTTGTTACTTTCATTTTCATAATAAAATTAAGCTGCAATAGTGTATGAGTGTGGGTATTTTTAAGGGTAGGAATTTTATAGACATGTCGTGAGTGTTGAGGTTTGTGCCAGAATCCCACTTCCAAGAGTGCTGTTTCCGTTTGTGGCATTCCTGACTAACTATAGAGACGATCACATTGCATGAAAGTAGAACGTTGTTGATATTTAACTTCAGTGGGTGGGGGGGATTATCAGAATTATTTTCTCTTTATTTTTTTTTCCCCTGCTGGTTTTAAGTTGTGGGAAATGAGGCAAAATTCTTAGATTCTTAGTAATTGTTCTGGTGATAGGAATTGTTTGGGGAAAAATGATGATATTATGGAGTGAGGTAGGAGAGGGAAACTGGCAGGAGCCCTTCAAATTACTCTGTAAAAGTTGTTTCTTCTTCTTTACCAGTTTGACCATTTTTCTTTCTCTAAACAGGTTATGGTGTTTTACTTTTTGTTTTAAATTTAATAATAGCCTAGCTATTTTTTCTTCCTCCTCTGAAATATTCCATTTCTTTATTTGCCTAACTTTTATTAAAGTTGCTATTGTCATCTTTAGTTTTATAAACATGGCATGTCATCTTTACCATGAGCTTTCCTGGATCTGAATGAACTCTAATACAGTTGGATAGCCACAATTTTAGTAGCTGATTTTTCCTGACCTTTCGCCTTCTAGTTTATTTCTTCATAGAGTGAATCAGTAAAATCTAACACCTTATTTTTATGTTTGAAAATAGTTGTGTATTTTCCTTAAACTATATTTGTTGAATATGAATATAGTAATAAAAACTGTAAAATTTTATTTGAAATACCAGACAAGTATGAAATTCTTATTTGTACCAAAAAAACAGCATTCTACTTTTACAGTCAGACATTTACCTTGGCAAAAACTTCCTGCAATGCAAAGGCATTCTTTTTTTTTTTTTTTTCCTTGTTGTGCTGGGTTGGAGTACACTGTGGCATTTACAAAAGTTCTTACAGTATATCAAATATATCATAGTTGAATTCACCCCATCCATCATTCTCCTTTATCCCCCTACCACCATTCCTAGAATAGTTTCAACATGTCTCATTTTTTCCACTCAAAGCAATTCTTATATTGAATTAATGAACTCAGAGCAACAGTTGACATAATTTTTGCCTTAATACTATGTAATTATTTTTCCATGTGACATCTGTGTCTTGTAGATTATTGGCAAATTTTAAAAACTGAAGCTCTTAGATTCTTTTTTGTGAGTTATAAATTCTGCAAATTATTTTTCTGAAAAATGACATTCCCTGTTGGCTTTCGCTCCAAGTGGCTCTGGAAGTTAGGTGTGAGGTGCCCACTGTAGCAAGCTTTCCTGGGTGGCAGCATGAGGAAGCGATTTGCTTGAGTTTCTAGCTTTAAAAGATAAATCTGGATTCTGTTTTCTTCTACAAAACTGGGGAACAGGAGGGCAGAACAGGTCCTGCCCAGGGAAGGGGTGGTGGTGGCAGAAAAAGGGTGTAGGAGGTGAATATGTTGTGAATACTGTTTACACATGTGTGTAAATGCAAAAATGATAGCTGTTGAAACTGTTCTGAGAATTTGGGGAGGAGGGAATAATGGAGAGTGGTAGAGGGAGTGAATTCAAGTATGATGTATTTGATACATTGTAATAACTTTTGTAAATGCCACAGTGTACCCCCACCCAGCCCAACATATAAAAAAAGATAAATCTGGAGTTGGGAGCATGGCTCAAGTGGTAGAGCACTAGCAGGTGGAGGCCCTGAGTTCAAAACCTAGTACTGCCAAAAAAAAAAAAAAAGATCTCTGATGGTGTCAGAGGTTCTGGTTTTAGATTTCATATTTTTTCATTCATGCCATCGATACAACCAAGTGTCTTCTCACCCCTGAGATGTGGAATAAAAACAAAGGATTAAGCTCCTCTAGAGGGAAAGGAAGTCATGAACCATTTGTCTTTCTAATAGATGTTCTCCCAGCATGTGCGTCCAAGGCTATGGGTCTGTGTGGTTAGAGTCTGGCGCCTGTCCCATGCTACAGTAATCTAAGTGCATCTTTCCTCTTCGAAACTTTAAAGGCCATGGCAAAGAGCCATCTTCACCCATCACAGTTCCCTGTGAGCACAGTAAATTTCAGCTGAAATTGAATGATACCTATTAAAGCTGATTCAAGGAATAGTTTTCATTGTTTAAAAAATTGTAGCACTTTAAAAAATGTGAATTGGCTCTAGCTTAGTTTTATTGACAATTTTAGCTATATTGAATATCAGATTTCCTCCTTCCTCTGATTCTTTCCTGGTGGGCTGCAGTTATAAGTAGCTCTGATAGTTCTGACCCTCTGAAAGTTTAGCAGTTTACATCTTCTAGATAAGCTACAATGCAAAAGAATGATGTCTAATGTGTTCTGTGTCTACTTCTCAGTGGCCATGTGACCTTAGAAAGTCACTTCTTCACTTCATCAGTGCAACCAGTATTAGGATTCTGGTATTTCCTCTCATTTCCCTATGTGGTTTTAAACCAGTGGAAATAATATTGTATCCTGTTTTGTACCTATACTAGTACCCAATAAGTCATTTCTCTTTGTGATGTAGTATATATTGAGCATATTTTAAATAACTCATTCTTATTGCAAAAAAATGCATATGACTACTGAAGAAAATTTGACCTTAAAACTGTATAGTTTTAATTGATGTTACATTTTGAAATGATAAGCGATCAGGGAAGGTGCTAAGGTGCTACTTTACTTTTGCTACATAGAAAAGTTTGTTTTGTTTTTTTAAAAAAATGAAACTAAAGTCTAAAATCCTAGCTGTCTTCAGTGTAAATCTGAGCTTGTAAGTATTAAAATAAAGTACGTTTTCTCTCTAGTATAATTTTTAGTGGTGGTTGTTTTGGGGTTTTTTTGTGGTGCTGAAGTAGTTGTGGGGAGAAGGAAAAAAATGTATCTTTGAAATATTCTACCTGTTTGCATTGAACTGATAGTACTGATAGCTAGTTAACACTTGCTGCATTTAGTTTCCTGCTGTTTTTCGCATACCTTACACCCACGTGAAATTTTATGACCCTTTGGACACTAAAACAGCAGGTTTTTAGGAAAACAGTTCTCTCTAAACAGTTATTTCTAATTTGAGAAATCCTAGTCCTGCTTCCTCAACT